GAGGGGGAGAGAGGGAGGGAGAGAGAGACAGGGGGGAATGAGAGAGGGGGACAGAGAGAGATTAGGAAGGGGTCGACAGTCTGCTGTCCGTGTCTCTCCCGAATGATAATAATAGTTAATACCTTCCCGATGGGGCGTGGCTGAGCTCGGCCGGGCGTAGCGCGGGTAAAATGTACAAGTTATCGTCCAACTACCACAATACTCATAACCGTTTAAGGACGGCGGCGTGGTGCGGTAGGTGCGGTGGCGGTCGGGGGGCGATGGTAATAGGTGCCGATTGTCACCGCCTAGCCACCCTAGAGAGCGCTGCAGTAGCGGGGGGAGGGCGGTTGGTTCCCAATGAGAGCCACATCACGCCCCGCCCCGTCCCGCCCCGCCCCGCCACGTCCGCAACGAGCGGCCCGCCTGCTTCCAAATGCGAAAGCGGTCGGTCGAAACCTTAGAGGAGCGTTGCTGCACGGTGTCGGCGAGGCACGGGTAGCCTGGTCTGGAATCAAGTGTGTGGGGGTGAGGTTGGGGTTGGGATAGCACGATGCAAGGGAGAGAGCTGGGAGGGGTAGAGGTGGGAGGTGGGTCCTCAGGACCCCCCGAGGGAACGACACTCGTCCAGCCCCTGGTGACTCCTCCCGCCAACTGTCGACGCGGCCGCCCAGCACCTTATTAATGGAGAGGCTGACCGTCGCCGACTCAGGCCCGCTGTGCTGCTGACCGCCACTGACGGCCACTGACCGCTGCTGGCCGCTGCCGCTGCCGGCTCCGCCCGTGAGTAATGAAAGCTACCAAAAGCTGAGTTGGACCACAATAAAACGCTGTGCGATGATGATTAATGCGAAGCATGAGGCTTTGAATACAGGGCCGACATGCTTATTAGGGGTGCCGGAACCTGGAGGAGGCGAGAGTGCGTGTGAGAGAGAGTGGGAGGGAAGGTGAGAGAGAGAGAGTAAAGGAAGAGAGGGGGCTGAGGGAGGGCTGAGGGGCAGAAGAAAAGTGTTACTCGTCTTGTGCTGAGCTTAAGTCCAGTCAGCATCTCAGACCCGGGGGAAATCAACCAATTAGATCGCAAAGAACACCTCAGCTTTTCGGCGGGAGGGCGAGGCTGGGTGGGCTGGGGGAGCGCTGGTGGGGGAGGAGAAGGAGGAGGACGACGAAGGACACGGGGAGAGAGAGACACCGCTGGTGCCACCGCTGGGGAGAGAGGGAGACAGCGCAGGCGGCAGTAGCGGCAGGGGGAGAGAGGGGGTGGCGCTTTCCTAGAGAAAGCAGGAGAAAAAGAAGAGCCGACCAAGTTGGAAAGAAGGACATTGAAGGAATTACTGATCAGGCGAGAAGCACCCCAAGTTTTTACATTCATCTTTTTCCCCCTCTTATGTCCCCTTGAATAAAATTATTAGTGCCACGTGCTTTTAATCAGCCATCACACAGGGAGGAAATTCAAGTGTTTCATTGCTCCAGTTTATGTTTCTGAATGCTGACGACAGCTTCTGGTAACCGGGCAGCGAGTCACAGCTGCTTTAGTCACAGCTTCCTTTTCGTGTTGCACGATTATGCTGCTTCGGATGGGTCTTCGACTGTCAAAAAATTGCTATAACTACTCTGGAAAGATGCCGCTAGTGGTTGACCTTGGGGTTTTGGAAATTTTAAAATGGCAGTGCATGCTCTCAATAAACCTTTAGTTGTAAATCAAGGCGGCAGGATGGTTTTTATGTAGTGACGATTTTTCCAAACCCTTCATTTCACAGGTCTGCCGCCTTAAACTAAAAGTCCCTATTGAACAAAGGTATCTCGCGAAAATAACATTCGATGCAACACAAAGGCGACTACATTTCCTTAACCATGGGTTCGTTTCGCAGTTAACAAGAATTGTTTTTAATTCAAGTCGACACATTTATTTTTTTAAACGGTGTGGACTTAACGCAGCAAAGTGAGGAGAAGAAGCAGGAGCAGCAGTAGTTGTGTCTCGGACGACGGTTCCTTTCAGAGCCACCACGCTCTGCCGCGCCCCTCACCCGCACAGACGTGTGCAGCGACTTTTCTGCCTCTCTTGAGTAGTAATTTTCGGGGCCCCAACTCTTTTCCTCTGGCCATAGCGCTCTCACACCGAGCACTTCTGGAATCAAAGCGGCCGGACCGAGTGAAAGCAGAGTGAAGCATTGCGAAGCACTGCGAAGCACTGGCACCCTTTCACGTGGCCCCACCTCGGCCCCGCCTCGGCCCCGCCGGACGAGTCCCGGACGGTCCGTGTGCGTCCTCGGGCCCCGAGACGCCCGTGCCCCCGTCCCGTCCCGAGCGGAATGCCAATCGAATGAAATAGTAGTGCTGGGCGGGAGGCCGGGAGCATCCGGAGGCCGCCGGACGCGAAGCCCGCGACGACCTGGCCAAGGAGGTGTCGACAGAGAGACTCGCGACAGGCTAACTCCCGTGCACGTTCCTCCTGGACCTGTGGTGTCAGAAAGTACCGGACGAGGGTTACTCCAACCGGGGGTCGCCCACTTGGATATTCCATGTACACATTGAAAAATATTCCAAAATTATTCCAGATATATTCCACCAAAAATTTGCCAGATGTTACAAAAATGTTCCAGATATTCCAAAATTTATTCCAGACATTCTACAAATATTTAAGATATTTCATGTACACGAAAAATCTGAGTGGTCGAACTCTCGTACGCGACGCTGTGGTAGTACCATAATTCCGAGGAGAGTTTGAAAAGGGAAATATTTGGGAAACCTGAAAATACACACTTTAGCACTCCCAAACCGGGTTTAGCACCCCAGGAAAGGTACGATATAGCACCTTTTGTTTTTCCAGTGCACTACTTGTAAATGATAACATAACGTTTCGGTAAAATTTGCTGGTTTGAACATTACATTACGAGGAGGCAACACCCACGCTGCATCGATCCTTCTGTCAGCAGGACTTTACCCTCGTAGGAGCGGAGCCATGGCGATGGCGGCGCCTTGTGGGAGGGGCGAGGAGGAAAACCCGCATACTTTTGCACTCAAAATGTCAAGGACAATTTTTGTAACTAGCACCGGACTTCTGCGTGCATAACTGAATTCAGATACAATATTGTGACTTACTAGTCACTAAATGTGTGTCGGTAGTTACAATATTGTATCTGAGCTAGTTATGCACACAGAAGTCCGGTGCTAGTTACAAAAATTGTCCTTGGACATTTAGAGTGTGTGTCGTGGCCCTGACACACGGCATGCAACACGCCCCGCCCCGGTACCGCATCGACCCTACAGGTGTGGATTTAAGCCCCGGTCCTCGCCTCGCAGCCGGGCCGGGGTGGGGGTTGGGCAGAGGCGCGTGCGGTTAGTTAAAGCCCCTAACGCCGCCCGGCCCAGAGCGGCGAACGAGGAAGAGAAAGGAGAGCAAAGTACCCGGCTCCAGCTCGAGCTCCACGACCTGCTGAAGGGCTGCCGGCTTCCTCCAAGCGCTTCTTCCGAGGTTTCTTCTTCATTTTGCCATACTTCCTCCTTTCCCCTTTATCCTTGCACGCGTCCGCATCCTTAGTCTCTCTCTCGGCCTCTCTCTCTCTCTCCCTCCCTCTCTCTCTCTCTCTCTGCCTCTCTCTCTGTCTCTCTCTCTCTCTATCTCTTTTCCCTGTTCTCTCCGACTCGAGGCCAGGCCGTTCGGAGCGGGCCGGCCAGCCCGTAATGTCCTCATCTCCCTCTATTCTTAATGAAATAACCAGATCTCCCCCAATGCTCGGATTACGCGCACTAATTAAAAGATTTGCCCCTCGGCCCGCCTCCCTCTTACCCCTCCCCGCGGTTCCCGTTTCTCCCCCACCCCTCCCCACCTTTTATCTCCACTTTCGCGTCTTTTCGCCCCTCGCGCCCGCGCGCGCGAGCGCCCTCCAGCGCCCGCAACCCTCTCCCCCACCCGCGGTGCGGGGGCTGAAGGAGGAAGGAGCGGGGAGGGGTGTAGGGTGTTAGGGGGTCCAGTTCGGCAATCCGACCCTTCCTAAAGTTGTGGTGCGGATGCCCCCGTGCCCGTGCCCAGTGTCCGTACCCTTGCCTATGTGCCTTGTGCCAGCTAGGTGGCTAGTGCCTTGTGTCTTTGCCTTATGCCTTTGCCTTGTGCCAGGTGGCTAGTGCCTTGTGTCTTTGCCTTATGCCTTTGCCTTGTGTCTTTGCCTTGTGCCTGTGCCCGTGCCTCGGCGTGTGGCTAAGCTGGCCCGAGCGCGGTTCTATTGTGTAATCCGAGAATAAAGCCAAGCATCGCCCGGACCGGGCCAGCCAACGCCACCTGCGCGGCCCGCAGCCGAAAGAGTTTCCTGCCTCCAACTCGACCCCTAAGCACCCTGCGAACGCCAGCAAGACAAAAACACTTCACTGATGAATAAAGTGTTCAACTGGCGTGCAGATGCAAGTTCTCAACACTATGTTGTACACTTTTAGGTCTGTCATCAGTCCGGCTTTGGTGCGTGCACACAGAGTAGAACTCCGGACTCTGGAATCAGCGCCGCTCACCTTGCCAACTGAGCTGTGTGGGCGGACATGGGGAGGACGATTCCCGGAACAACTGTTCCATTGAAACTGCCGGCGGCTCATGAGCGTGCAATTGGTCCGTAGTGCTTCCGGCTCGTTCCGAGAAGTCTGGTGGTGCTCATATACCTCTCTGGAAACTCAGGTGTGAGGCAGTCTCATACCAAATGGTGTGAGGCAAAATACCTCACACCAAACGGTGTGAGACTGTCTCACACCCGAGTTTCCAGAGCTGTTGCAGACTTCAGTTGCCCTCTCCCCTATTCCGAATACAGTAGCAAGATGATATTTCTGATTCATTAAATCTTAACAGATATTGGTGGATTATTGTACAAAGTTGTGCACGTAAATCGTACCGTGAAATCCCCATTGAAATATTATAGAC